ACAGAATATATTTCTCATGCTAATACAATAAAAATAGAAATCCCCTTTTCCCAGAATCTGAATATCTCAACAAAATTCAGACTTGTGGTAAATTATTAATGTGAACTGTTAACTACAGAGTAGTATGGTCAATCCCATTTAATTGTGGACTGATATCTTATGCAAAATAATTTATTAAAAATAAAATAAAATAAACATTAAAAAGAACAACATGTCCATACAATCAACAGAACCACTGCAGTTTCTAGCCAACCTCATTTGAAAATTCACATGGAATCTAAACTAACCATGTTGGCCTTTTCGAGTCACTTGCATATGCCTAAAGCTAATAACTCTAATTAATGTATCATAAATCGACTTAGTTCTAGACTCGTTTCGTTGCTACTCAACAGATAGGGAGATGTTAATGTCGGGAGATGGTCTCTGTTCAGAAATTGGCTCTGTACCATTCCAGTTAGCAGTAACTGTAGATGTAGAGTACGGGTACTCTTTAGTGATTGTGTTGTTATCTGCTTCTCCATGATTCAGCACTGGCAATTGAGACGGTGGTACTGGAGGGATGTTGATTTCTGGTGTCACTTGTGATATTGGCGTCGTTGCTGTCATTGTAGCCGGAGGACTCTGGATTAGAGGAGAAACTCTGGATTCAAGATTATGCTTTCTTTTAGGTGTTTTGTAACCACTTGACATGAAGCTTCCAACAACCACCTGTCAAAAGTAAATCAGGACACAAGCAAATTTTGCAATGAATATAGGAGTGTTAAGTCTTTCATTTAGATTAACATACAGAGGTCCAAGACCACAGATTGACGGAAAAAGGATCTTCTAACCGACCCCAAGTTTATTTTGAATAAGGTTTTTCCTTCTTTTTTTGGGTATTCGGACATGAACATGATACAGCGTGCCTAACCCAGCAAAACCATGTAATCAGGAGTAATGCTCACAATTTCTCAATTGTTCGATAGCTTTTCCATTAACAAGTATGATAAAAAGATTTAAGGACAGAATTGACAACTAGTAAGCATACAAAACAGTAGATCAATGTTTAAAAGAAGTACACCTGCGAAGACTGCCATTGTGACACTTCTGTGCAACATTTGAACTAATTTCAATTTACAACGAGGAAGGAATATGGTCACATTTATTTGTGTCTGAGACATTATGTAAATTGTTTCCCATCATTTGTCTCTTTGATGACACCTAAATGCAGGTCTACCTGCGTTGTAAACACTATTAATTGACCGAGTGATGAACAGAAAAGCAGAAACTTTCAGAAGTTAGGCTGTGTTTGATAGCCCATTTGTTTTCCATTTTCCATGGAAATGATTGTTTGATAGGTTTTTTTCCATGGAAAATTAATTCCATGATTCCCCCACACGTTTCCAGGTTTTTTTTATTATTTTTTTGGCAATGGATACAAATTTTATCACCAATTGTAAAAAAAAATCCCTTTAATAGACAATTTCCATAAAAAGAAAAAAAGCCAAATGAACCTCAAATGATCTAAAATTTAAATATTTTCCACGTAAAAAATTATGATAATCAAACACAATTAATTAACAATTCTCAAGAAAACAATTCTAGACAATTCAATTATCTGGAATTCATTTTCTTTCCACCCAAATTCCACTCTTACAATCAAACGGGCCCTATAAAAAATTGTGGTGAAACTTCCTCGCTTGACTTTTCAGAGAGCCCGTCAACCATATATCGACGTCAATTTTACCATCTACCCTCCATTAATGTCAAGTCAATGTCCATGTACAAACTTGTAAATCCGCTAGTAGTCACACATCCTTTAACATGACAACTATCTACTTGCCATGATGAGGACGTGAATATCTTACTCGAGTGATTTTTTCATCGTCTCCTAAAGAGAGAGATGCACTATCCAACTTCGAACAGTCAGCATTTTGGATCTTTTTTCTCACCTGATCAGATCGTCCATGGTTGGAACAAAATACTTTCATTTTCATATAGTTATTCTTCTTCCACTTTTCAGCAACAAGTAATGAATTTTCAGATAATTACTTTCACCAAACCTTTCTTCATAAATCAATTTCCTTGTAACTTCTGTAAAATTAACATTTATTTTCCGTCAAAGAAAAATAGATTGATGTGGCCATAAGAAGACTAGATGAACCTTAACATTTTATCCTCTTCATTAATTTTCACTTCAAGAGCCTCCAGTTCAAAATCGATCTCATTGATAATAGGATAATCTGTTATTTCCTTATAAACATCCATTCGCAAAGAATGGAATTGTTCCTTCAAATAGAACCAATTTGAAGGCCTCTTTATTTGCTACAACGCCTTCAAGTTTTTCTCAAAGCTTATTTGCAGTAGATATCCATGAATATTTGCAACGACAATTTTGGCCAGACAGATGTATTGTGCTTACAGCTTTTCAAATCAATATTTTCCCACTTCTCATTGCTTATACTAAAATTAGGGTTCGAAATCCCATAAATAGCTGCTTCTAGGTTTTCTTTTTGCTTTAATAAGAGGGAAAACGGGCATGAGAGGAGTCAATAATCGTGAGTATCAGTAAAAAGGTCATATTATCCTTTCTCTTGTTTAGATGAAAATTAACAGTGAATGATGGATAGGGGCAAGATGGAAAAAATAATAATAATAATAATAATTGACTAAAGGAGGAGTTGACACGTGTCCAATATGAATAGTTGCGTATGTTAGCCTCTTTTATATGAAATTATATATAGTTGTATGTATATTAGTGATGATAAGGACTTATTCTTTAATAAAATAAATATTACATGAAAATTAAAAAATATATATTTATTTTTTAACCACATATCTTCGTTAAATTACTATTCCAAAATATGTTTTTGGCAAACAAAAAAAAAAAAACAAATAAATAAAATGGGGCTCAAACAGACTTATAGTATAAACAAATAATTATATTATAGTGAAAATTTGATTAATTTTGGCAAATTTAAAATTAGTAACATTACATGTTGAAATATATAATGCAAACTTATGAATCATGTTGACGTCGAGAATCGTATGAACAACATTCAAGTCAACTTCAAAGGTGATAAGAACTTTTTATCGATAACAACACGTGAATTGCTAGTATAGCTAGCGTAATTATAAATGCGTTACGCTTGTCTTTGTTAAAGAGATATTTGAAATATGATAATGTAAGAACATTTGTAAGTGAAAAGTTTCCTCTCTTCTTTACAACTATTTTCTCTTTTATAGGAGAAAATATACATGCTTCATTAATTTTCCGTCTTGTCATCTGCAATTTCGAACGGGAGAAGTACACGTTGGAATAATTCAATTGGCCACCGAGCTCAATCTGGCAGTTTCATGATGAGCAAATCTTACAGGTGGGCCCTAGTAATTAATGAAGTGTTGGGAAATGAGCCTAACTATTTGATCAGAGCTTATGTAAGCACTAATGTAATGTTATTCCCTGTGGATTTTTCTGATTGGCTGGTTCATTGATTGTGTCAGTGATCTTCAATCATTAGAATCTCATTCCCTTGAAAGACTACACAATCTTCCTAGGTACGCTAACCATCCGAGCCGACCTCATCGTCACGTGCTCATCACGTGTATTCATCCGATACGAAGACGACACATACAATCTTATTTTTTTTTTCTTCCTCTTTTTCACGTCTTTCAATTTTTCCATTAACTTGATTGAAACAATCAACAATACTTTAACACATTACACACTAGTTTAACATTATGTTTTAATTATCAAAATATGTAAAACTAATTCTCAAAACCTACTTAGCGATGTGGGATGTAGTTTTTCACCATTCTTTTGAAAACTAGCATTATGATGGTCCATCTTCCCAAGTAGATAACTTTAAGGAACTAGTTTTTAACGTAACTCTCCCATCATCATCTCATTCGCAACAAGAGAATGGTTGTAATAAATATATTGATTAGAACTCATTCTTAAAATCGACTTATAAAAAATGGATGTCTAATTGGCTAGAATCATGCAAACTAAGCCTTAACTTAGTAATATGGACAGGAACCATTACATTCCGTCAATATTAATCGTTATGTTTGATGTTTATTTTAGTTTGACTTACAAAAATAGATTGAGTGACTAAGTTTGAGATATTGTGAAAGTTGGATGGTCGGTTTGACTTAAATGATCACTTGAGAAAAATATCAGTGAGCGCTAATTTCTTGTGGGTCCTACGAGTTGACCTTTTTAAGCTTTGCACATGGCAATATTACAGATTATTGAGATTTGCGTCCTACATCTACGTTTAACTGTATAATTTGATTTTTTTACGCGTTAAACCTATGAATTTGTTCATTTAGTACCCAACTGATGATATTTAATGTTCAATAATTGCAATACTACCAATTATTTTCCTCGGTCAGGAATCTTCAGCCAATTTTACTTGTTTATTTAATGCTAGTACCTTCCAAATAGTTATTAAAAATCAAACAAATTTCCGCCGTCCGGGAAAAATTGAAAACCCATCTTTCTCCGAGTTGAATTAAAAAACTCAATAATTTGGACTAATTCCCCTCCAACCTCCAATTCAGTAAAAGGCAAGAAATCAATGCCAGAAGCAATCCATTTCCAGAAATGAATTCTCAGAATGGCATGCAAAAGACACGACTGAATGCATACAAGGCGTTTTGGTGGGCTAAGGACATCAAGAAAAATTCCAGCATTTGCCACAAAAATAGAAGCAAATTATATTGGTAGCTATACAAAAGTTCGTTTGGAGTTTTGAGCTTTGATATCTTTTTCTAAGAATTGCTCCATGGATCTCATTGGAAATGTTTGATGCTTCTTGGGGCTTCTATGGCGACTATGAAGTCACTGGATGAATTGCCGAGTAAATCCGAACGCTGCTATTGCTTCGCTGTGATACGGACTCGACCCGCTCCTACCCACCTTGGAGCTCCATAGCATGTCGGAAATAGGAGGGACATACTGGATGTAAGAGCTCCCTTGGTTGGGGGTCGTGTTGCCCTATTTTTCAATCCATACACAGTTGAAGAGGCAGATCACAAGTGCTACATGTTTGAGAGAGGATCTGGTCAAAGAAGGCTAAGATGGTTCCTTGCATATGCCCCGCTAATGGTGCCTTATGTGGAAGTGTCAAGTGTTAAGATTTGGGGTTCTATCTTAAAATGTCAATATTATTGAGAGAAGTAGTCCAAATTCTTATAAATTGATCTATATTTTCATCTTTATTCGATGTAAAATTTTATCTCTTAACATGCCCTGCAAGATGGTGGCTCGTTTGAGCAGACCAATCTTGAAATTCGTGTGCTAAATTTTTTTAAATCTTAATCGGATCGAATCGCTCATTGGAGCTTAACCTAGCTCTGATACCATGTTAAAATTTGAGATTCTATCTTAAAAGGTCAACCTTATTAAGAGAAGTAACCCAAACTCTTATAAATTAGTCTATGTTTTCATCTTTATTCGATGCAAGATTTTATCTCTTAACACCTAGCCCAATAGGGAGAACACACCCCCATTTCAAATGCACCTCTGTATCAACTATTCTAAGGGTCTTGTTGGTGGAACCACTGAAACCACATGAGCTGGTTGGATACGTGGGGCAGAAGCTCGTAGTACCTCCTTTTCTTGAGCTTGCATCATTTACTTCACTTCGATAATGAATCACCCACTACAAAGGGGGCAGGCTTGGACGCCTTATTTTAGACTATTA